AATAAAATAAGGACATGATATTCAAATGAAAGGTGTTAAAATAAATATGTTTATTTAAGCTGTTTTTCTCCGCGATCACATGCTGTTGTTATTTGTATGCTAACGTGGTGCTATTCTGTGAGTTAATGCTAGCTTAGGTATATTTTCACTCAGCAATTCGCTGAGCGTGTAGTCGTTGTTGTTTGACTGCACGCAGGTAGGAACACAGATTCTGATGGGCAACCCGGAGGGCAGTGAGGTGGTGGTGCGGCATGGATGGCTCCTATTACTTAAATAATTAAACTACATTATTTTATTTGGTTATATGGACTGTTGGACGTTACTTTGGTTTTATTATGCTTCCGCGACGTTTGGACTTGTTTTATTACTCCGATAAATTTTGGTTTAGTTTCGAACTCTCACAGATGAATTTTATAATTTATTCAGTTGATTATTTTTTTTTATAAATTATGCATGCGAATACAAATTTAGTAACAACCTGGTTCGCTAACCCGTTGGTTCGGGTTATGCGGGTTGGGGTGTTACAGATGATGTGTTATAATTGTGTATTGCGAACTAAATATATATGTGCATTAAAATTTAAATGTTTCACTTCTGCCCAAAGGTGATGTGTTATATTCAAATTGTACATCATTATTTTATTATTCATAATACTTAAATAAGTGGTCATAACCAAAGTGAAAGCCACTTGTTTGAGTAGAATTAAATTTAGTCTATTATTTTGGTGTTATAATAGACTCTTATCACAACTTCATTACTATATAATGGTCCTTATCTTCGCCAGCCTTAGTTCATTACCCCTTAAGTTCTTGTTTAGTTATGTGTCTTATTTCTCTCATTTGAATCCACTATCAGCCCCAAATATGGGAATTGAAACTTTGAACGGTGCGAATTTTTCTTCATGGAAAGATTCACTGATGCTAACTCTTGGCATGTTGGATTTTGATTATGCACTGAGAGAGCCTGCCCCTCCTGCACTCACTGATAAAAGTACTGCTGAAGATAAAATAGTACATGAGAGATGGGAAAGGTGCAACAGAATGGCTCTTATGCTCATCAAAAATTCTATCAGCATAATCATCAGAGGAGCTATTCCAGATTCATCTAATGCTAAAACATATCTGGTTTCCGTGGAGGAACAATTCAAAGCAACTTCTAAGGCACATGCTAGTACTCTTATTTTGAAGATGGTGACTACTAAATACGACGGGAATAGCGGCATTCGTGAGCACATCATGATGATGAACGACATGGCCCGTAAGCTTAAGGGTTTAGACATGGAGATCAGTGAAGGTTTTCTGGTGCACTTCATCATGACTTCTCTTCCTGCATCTTTTGAAGCTTTCAAGGTCAACTACAACACCTAGAAGGTCAAGTGGTCGATGAATGAGTTGATTGCTATGTGTGTACAAGAAGAAGAGCGTCTGAAGCTGGACAAACCGGATGTGGCTTACCTCATGACCGCTAATCCAAAGAAGAGGAAGGGCAATGTCGATAAGAAGGATTGTTAGCCTTGGTTTGCTAAGCCTCATGTTTTGATGTTAACAAACAATATAAGAGCTTAACGTTTGTTTAAGTGTTTCAGGAAAACAAGAATCCATTAAGATTCGGTACTCAAGAATGAAGTCGAAACACTTAAACTAGCGTAGAATATAGGTAGAAACCAATGTAAAGATATGACTTTATATACCTATATTCACAAGCTCAAAAGCACTCACAAAATATGTTTAAAACCATCACATAAACACTTTCAAAATATCTAAAAGGTTTTAAACTCAAACACGAAGGATTAAGGGAATTTTGGAAAAATCAGAACAGAGTCACGGTACCTCTAGCGGTACGCCACACGGTAGGGTATACCGCCTACACAGTACCCCCATACCGTGTAACGGTACCTAGGTACCGACGGTAGGCGTAGACGGTTGGCCGAACCCGTCCTAACCAGGTACCGCCAGAGGCGAACCGAACTTTTGGAAGACACGGTACCCCCAAACTGTAGGCTATACCGTGTCACGGTACCTAGCTACCGGATGACACGGACCCCCCTACCATGAAGGGTACCGGATCCGTTACAGCACTGTAGCAAAATTGCCAATTTGAATTAAATCAACCCTAATCACCTCCCAACGGCTAATTAACATCTTCCACTATAAATACAAGCCTAATCCTTCATATTTCTTCAAGAAACAAAGCTCTAAACATCCTCTCTTTTTATTCTAAGTGTGTTCATCCTTTTATTAATTATTTTCAATATTTTGGCTATTTCAAGAGCCTTAAATTCCTGAATTTTATACACACAC